AAAGAGTGTCCTCTTGATAACATGGAATTAGGAGGTTTGTCTTGCTATCGTGTTACATGGAATTAGGAGGTTTGTCTTGCTATCATGAATTAACACGATGGAGCGGTGGTGCAAGTACTTAGAGTATGACTAAGCTTTATGGGATATACTTGTGGACTAATAGCTTCCGATACTTATGTTGCATGGACAGAGCATGAGACTGTTGTATCTCTGAGTCTGACATTGTTTGGGAGCGAATACACCACCACGGTTGCGTCTCGGATACCTCAGCAAATCGTGTCCACACAAATCAAACATGTCTCCATCATGAACACCTACAAATGAATACATCTCTATCTTGATGCTTCGATTCGGGAATTCAAGATTTTTTTATAAAAAATAAATAAATAAAATAAATATTGATAAAAATATAAACAAAGAACAGAGGATTTGAAATTTAAAAAAAAATCTTGATAAAAATAGAAACAAGGAAGAGGAAGAGTATCGTTCTCGTCTCTCCTTATTGAACTTTCATGTAATAGAAAAGAAAAAATCTTAATAAAAACAATATCATTCATTTTTTTCTTATAGAGTATTCCTTATCCTAGATTCAAGGAATTATAATATCATTCATTTTTTGCTTATAAAAAAAAACACCAAGTAAAGAATGAAATATGGGGTCTTCTCAAGAATGGAGTTGCTTTTGAGTAGCACCGTGGCATAATCATTTTAGATTGTAATAGTGCTATGGGTGAGTGTGAGTGGAACTTGCCCTCGGACACAATACATCATACAAGCTATCTAAAATGTTAACTTTATAGAGATTATAAAAAATTAATCAATACTTCAATAGTATATGATGATGCTCAAGTATTAAATTTCTAATGAAATGGTCTCTCTTTGAATAACATATCCTGTTCAATCTTCATCATAAATTAGTGTTGGATTACCTTATTTACGTAGTTGTAATTGGCATGAAGAACATCAGCACTTTGAGTTTCTATGTGTTCTTTTGGCTTTCCAGACAGTTTTATTTCCCCTTCCTTAGCAGGGTGATTCGTTTCAAACAACCATCCAATACAAATATTTTTATGGATACACACTATCATTGAGCCTTTGTGCCTCTAACTTTCTCCTTGGTAGGGATGCATTGCTGGAATAATACTGTTATTAATCACCAAAGGGAAGAGTTCTCACATCCTTACATTTAATGAAGAACTATTCTTCATATATCTCCTTCCTCCCATAATATTCAATGCAGGGTAAAAGTTTGTCTTGTATTAGACTTGAAGCAGCTCTTGCAGTTCCAAAAATTTTGTTTCTTAGTTATCCCTTTTAACAGATTTCAGGTGAAGAAGAAACAGTTCTTCCATAACTTTTTAACAATCATGCTGTTTGGGGTGATCGGCGTTTTTATTTCTACCACTGTTATTACGTGTGGTAATGATACAATCTCATAGTTTTCTTTTCCTTGTAATTTATAGAACTATCACTATGAAAATTTGCTTGGAATTATTCACCTTTTTAAGTCTTTGTATTTGGTTCATCTAGGCAGCTGGTGGCTGTTTCCCAAGTTGAAATTGCTTGGCCTGAGCGGGCGGGATTATCTCGGTGAGGTCATTGCATCATCTCAATACTACACAAAGACAGAGAGTCTATTTGGATATAAGTTTAAAAATGTTTTTGAGAATTTCTCTTCAAAAAATAATGAGTTTTTTTTAGTAGGGAATCTCTCAAAAACACTTTTAACTTGTATCCAAAAATGATCATATTATATATATTATAATTATCCACGTATATAGATATGTTGGATTTGGATGATAATTATCTCATGTTAATTTGATTCAGCTATAGGAACAATTTTCTCATCCACAGACACGGTTTGTACACTGCAGGTTGGTTAGATTGGTTTATGGTTTACTTTCATTAAACTCATTCCGCTTGCTCTTATTGTCAAACGCTGCATTTGGGATCTGTTGTAGGTTCTTCATCAAGATGAAACACCTCTACTTTACAGTCTAGTCTTTGGGGAAGGAGTGGTAAATGATGCAACATCAGTTGTTCTCTTCCATGCAGTGCAAAAGCTTGATGTTTCAAGATTTAGTGGCAAGACATTCCGTGTTATTGGAGATTTCTTGTATCTATTTTTATCAAGCACTGGCCTTGGAGTTGTAGTGAGTTTCATTAACGAAAATTGTATGCAAAATTGACCTAATATATTTTTTCATGTGGCATCAGATGACCTGGTGACTTTCTATAAATTCTCTTGCTAGTTGATGGTGTTGCTTTCACATGCATCTTATATTGCCTACTTGTTACATGAAGGAGCATATGACTGAAGTTTACAAAGTTTTTTAGTTGCTTCACATGTAGTTTGTCCTAGGGAATTCACATTTGAATCTAAACACTGTTATCATTTTCAACTATTAATTATATCAATTTTGGAAGTTGTATCATTTGTTTCCTTTTGATAGAAAAATAAATTTTATTAGAAAAAAGATAAGGAAATTTCAATGAGGTGTGGTAAGGTATCCACCAAAACACAATACAAAAAATTTCATTTGTGCTTATATCCAATGACACTTTGTCATTGGCTATGGTCTGGAGGCCTGAGTCTGTGACAAGTTATATTTGTGCTTAACCAGTGAAATGCCGTTGTCCTTAACACAAGACATGACTTTAGAAAAAGAATTGGGTTTCTAAAATTTGGTTGTCAAGAAAGAAACTGTGAAGGTTGGGGAATAAGTAAGAAACTGAAAAAGGGATTTGCAAGAAAATGCTTTTCGAAGTCCATAGTCACCTATCAGGATTAGTTGAAATGTTTAAGGTAGTAGAATCAAGTATGAGCAAAAATGCATGTTTATTTTGAACTTTTTTTTTTAAGTATTGTTATTAGTACAAACTTCAGTGGAATGGAGGGTTTTTCTTCTCATGTCATTTCTTTAAATAAATGCGTGTTTATGCAGACTGGCCTTCTCACAGCATATATCTTGAGAACTTTAAGCTTTGGAAGGTATTTATTTTTTTCTAAAATTTCTCACAAAAATGGCATGAAGTGGGAAAATCAAAGGTTAAAAATTGCATTCATTATATGGAGTTAGAAGGTGAAATTTTAAGTACACATTAACAAGTTTGCCTTTGCATATGCATGCAGACATTCAAGTGTTCGTGAAATTGCATTGATGATGTTAATGGCATACCTATCCTACATGTTGGCAGAGGTATTGGAAGGAATCTCAGTAATTTTCTTGTATTGATTTGACATTAGTTTCGAAGCTATAGAACTACAAGGGTTTGGGTTCAGTAAGCATGTAGGTAACTATACTAATGGAGATTTGGGATTTATAAAGGTTTCTTATACCTTCTCTTCATCCTTATTTTGATTTTACATCTTTTTTTTTTATTATTATTCCCTTTAGATGGAAGGAAGGTATGGAAGCCAGTGGACTGGTTGAGACTAACCACTCCCTATGGTTTTATGGGGCAAATTTAATGTAAAATTTAGCATATAATAATTTTTTGACCAAAACCTTCTATGTTTATTTAATGACATTCTATTTTTGTCTGCAGATGAACTAAAAACAAATAACCTTTTTTTTTTTGGCTATTCATCCTTTTGCAAATTCTTATGCAGCTATTTGATCTAAGTGGCATCCTCACCGTTTTCTTTTGTGGAATACTAATGTCACACTATGCATGGCATAATGTGACTGAAACTTCAAGAATCACAACCAGGTATTGATTAGTTCATCAAAGATTTCAGTAACATCCAGACTAAATGGTCTGAGATTTCTGATTTGTTTCCCTTCTCCAGGCATGTGTTCGCAACAATGTCATTTATTGCAGAAACCTTCATATTTCTATATGTGGGAATGGATGCCCTTGATATTGAGAAGTGGAAGATGACTGAATTAAGGTCCTAATCCTTTCTACAACTCTTAAAACAATTATATTTTATTGAGTTTACCATGGTAGGGACTAATGCATCGCACACTGAAGGCATGTTATTTATGATCTAATGCATGCTATTTATGGTCTAACAAATACATGCTCTTTTATGGCACATTTACTAGTTACCCGATTTCATAGTGTCACTACTGACATACATAAGTTAATATGACTTCAAGAATGTCAAAAATATTTATCGGATTATGACATAATTGTATTATGATAAAGAATAAATTATATTTAAGGATAAAGTATGATCTGCTTCTACTTGTGAAAAGATTGGTAATAGTTGGATTAATGCATAAAACTACATATTAGCTACCTTATTCTTTGCTGCTCGAAATTGTTTTCAGAATTCATAACACACAAGATCTTAAGTATTTGTTATTTTGCAATATTTGTATTTCTGGAATCTTCTTAAGAATAATTTGTGATCACGTTGATATGTTAGCCTTTTTCTTCTAATAAAGATTCTCTTGTCAACTACTTCTTCACTGCAGTTATGGAAATTTAATGGGGATCTACAGTTCCTTAATCCTATTGATATTGCTTGGGAGAGCTGCATTTGTTTTTCCTCTCTCTGCTCTTGCCAATTATATGAGTACGCATGCTAACCAAGCATCGAGTATCACATTCAAACATCAGGTTACTAAACATGTTTTATATGATTTTTTCATATTGTTAATGTTACAGTCAGTTGAAAAAATATATGTAATTATTTATTGGCTTCTTAAGTATGGTAAACCATCCAGATAATCATTTGGTGGGCTGGGCTAATGAGGGGAGCTGTCTCCATTGCTCTGGCTTTCAAACAGGTATGTGCATGAAATTTAAATTTCTATACAATATAATTAGCAATTTTTGTGCATGGCCCACATTTTAGTATGGGCAGCCAGATGCTGCACAAGGTTAATATTGTAATTTTCTCTGTAATGTATATGTGTATGTATGTATATATATATATATATATAAAGAAAAACCTTTTCCTCATCAATAATATAAATACAGTCACTCTGGTCCTTAGAATGTAGGCACATTGTCCAATCTCATTAAAATTCTGTATTTATGTGTGCGCATTTAATCTGGTTATTTATATTCCAATTGCCATGTTTCAACAAAAATAAATTTCATTAAATAAATGTGTTATTAAAAAAAATAAAAATTGCAGTTTTTCAATCGTGTTTTGTTGTATATTCCCATCTCAAACCTTACATAATTAACCATTGCATTGTGTATAGAAATTCCTCCTACAGTTATGCAACAACCAATAACACCGGTACCTTAAGAAGGAGGTGCCACTGAATTCTTCTTTTTATTTATCCAGTTCACATTTTCTGGAGTTACTTCTGATCCTGTTAATGCAACAATGATTACCAACACCATTATTGTTGTCCTTTTCAGCACACTGGTGAGTTGAGGCATTTCTTCTATCTTGAAAGTAACTATTAAGCCTATAAAATCAGCTTGTAAGGTGAAAATTGAACTTCACTTAAGTTTTTTCCAATACACTTTCTCATGTCCAGCATTATTAGACTTGGACGTGTATAGATTGTGGGTGGCCATTGGAATTAAGTGAGGGACAACTCTCACCTCACAAACAAGTTTTTTAGAATTAAGTTAGGTTCAAATTTACTTCCTAAAAGTAACAAATAACAACTTAGAATAGTTCAATCGTGTGGAGCTAAAGAAGATTATTTCCTATTGCTGTATCAAGCAAAGTGAAATCATCTCTTGGACCTTACCTCTTGATTACATGTAACTTGGTCATTCTTATAATTTGGTCTATCCTTTTAAATAATTGATGTAGCTCCAATGTCATTGCAGGTGTTTGGTTTTCTCACAAAACCACTAATTAGATATCTGCTCCCCCACAGTGCAACAAGGAAAAGCATCAGACATGAAGAATCAGGTCCACCGGTTGAGGACCTGAATCTACCTTTGCTATCCCTTGAGGAATCAGCAGCAACCAACATCAGCCGTGCCAAGGAAAGTTTGACCATGTTAATAGAAAGTCCTGTGTTCACCATACATCGCTATTGGAGGAAGTTTGATGATGCATACATGAGACCTATATTTGGGGGACCTTGTGGTAACCAGTCACAGTGCTAGCAACTATAGCAAATGATGGATATGTCAGGTATGCACTTGAATGTGAACACAAATGATGATCCATTTGAATCCAATTTTGAAGATGAGTAGCTTCCATTTGCCACTGTTTTGGATGCTCAAGTGAGGAATATAGTTACTAATCAGGGACCATCTGTGTTTGGAATATCACATAGGGGGTGATCTTACTTGAAGCTTTAAAAAAGTGCATATTTTCTTTGGTCATGAATGTTGTGGCAAATTAGAAACAGCATATTTGTAGTTAACGTATCCAGTTGATTAAATAAGTTTTATTGAGTTAATCTCATGAGCAAGTGGATTATTTTGTGCATAATGTCTTATTTTGTTTTGTTGTGTTGCCTTTTATAGTGGATAGATGCTACCGGGGGATGCATTACATTGATTTCATTTAAATACCTCTCTCATAATCCATTTATTGCTGTGTGCATTGAATTCAGAAAACTAGAAACAAGCATTTTATTAGACTACGGAATGAAGTGCCATGATACATTACTTGATATCTTTGAGTAGTAATACATCAAGGCCTTTGTAGACTACATAAGAAACTAATACATCAAAGACATTAAAAATAAACTAATGTATTTGAGGGGCACAGAATGACAGTTTAAAAGCTTCTCCAATATTAATACAGTGCATGAAAGCCAGCTAGGATGCTTTTAATTGCTGTGATTCTCAAGAATTGCTTCAAACCACTGGAAAATGAAGAACATTGAGTCAAGAAACACTATCTAGTGAAAATATAAGTCTAAGTTGTAATGATTTTAAAAGTTAGATAAGATTACCTTTACATTCAGGTGGTGTTTCCAGACCACATTTACTGGGCAAGGCCAAAGCATTGGCGGGGTTGATTCCAACTGAAAGTAGAATAGACTTGTAACTGCAAAGGCAAGGCAAATTGGCATGTTTATTAACTTGACAGCATTTTGCATTGGGTTTTGGAGGGTGTTTCCCAGTAACTGCTGCATAGCATAAGCTTAGCTTACTTGACTCTATGTCACATAAAAGAACAGCTTTGGCACCACCCAACATGGTAATAATGAACATTGTTGCTACTAGCCATTGCACCAAAGCGTTGCCTCTAGTTTGTGCCATACTCTCCTTAACCAAGCTACTAAGTGTTGGGATTCATCCCAAGTCCCACATCGGTAAAATGAAGGAACATTGGCTAGTTTATAAGTGTCCACCATTCCACATAGTATGAGGCCTTTTGGGAAGGAGCCCAAAAACAAAACCGTGCGGGCTTGGGCCCAAAGCGGACAATATCATACTATGGTGGTGCAAAAGGTGGACAATCGGGCCCTACAAGTGGTATCAGAGCCAACGGTTCGTCTGGGTTTGATGCGGGAAGACCCTCAGTGTTGTGCCTCGCGATGGAGATTCGAACTTGGTGCCTTGTGTCGAAAGTCTTCCTGATATTGTGGTGTTCAGGCGGCGTGTCCCGTAGAGTTAACGGCGGTACAAGATGGTGACGGATTATCGCTTGAGGGGAGGAGATCACGAGACATGTGGTCCTTGGTCTGAGGGGAGGTTTGTTGGGATTCATCCCAAGTCCCACATCGGTAAAATGAAGGAACATTGGCTAGTTTATAAGTGTCCACCATTCCACATAGTATGAGGCCTTTTGGGAAGGAGCCCAAAAACAAAACCGTGCGGGCTTGGGCCCAAAGCGGACAATATCATACTATGGTGGTGCAAAAGGTGGACAATCGGGCCCTACACTAAGCACCTAGGTCTAATCTAAACTTCTTGGTTTTGCCTTAATGTTAATTTATACTCGAGTTTGGAGTGTTGTTGGATTATTATTTTGTATTAGTTTCACTTGCTTTTAGGTTTGTCATGTGAATCCACTCTGTAGATGTTCACGAGATAGGTTTATTTTAGAATAAAGATTTGATCTAAACCACAACCAAACTTATCCATTACTATTAAGAAAATATATAAATAAAAAAGAGCCATGCTATATATGGTTTGTATCAGTTCATATTCATGAACTTGCACCGAACCTTATCCCTTAAGTGTAAAATTTCTTTTAGTTTAACATTTCTTTTAGTTTAATATTGTCATTATGGTCAAATATAAATTAACAAAGAGAGAAAATCAAGAAATATAAATTAACAAAGAGAAAAAAAAAATCAAGAAGACAAAGTTAAAAACATGTACCTTAGCCAGTGTCTCACAAACCATCTTTGGCATAATCATGATTCTCAAATTAAATAACAAAAGTGATTTGGGGTTGAAGGAAAAATATGCAAGAGTTGAAAGAATATAAAGCATGAAAATGTTTAATTTAACAAGGGAATTTGAGTTATAAAGAAAAATGAGACAATCAAAGGATACTCGAATAAATTATTTGAAATTAGACTTTACATTTTCTGATTTTATAATTGTCAAAAAAAATCTTGTGGTTGCACTTAAAAGATATAAAAAAAAAATAAATTATAGTCATATTCAAGAATACAAAAGATTTGTGTAAGATCATTTTGAATGATCGTATTACACACATTACAAGTTTTATAACAAAAAAGACTCATGAAATGCATTACAAATTTTAGAACAAAAAAGACTTATGAAACGAGAATGGACTATGAAAGTCGTAGATTTAGCTAAATAAATAAATAACAATGGTAGTAATCCTTCTTAGAGAATGATCAAAATAATTACACTCAATCTTTTCACCATGTCCTTAATGCAAAAAAAAAAAAAAAAAAAAAAAAAAAAAAAAAAAGAAACACAAAAAGATTAATCCACAAAAATAAATGTTGATAGAGGTCTAACACGCTTTGTTACAAGTGCATACAATTAAGATACATGAAGAAAATATGCAATTTTCATTAAACAATCGAAAAAAATCAATTACTGTTGAGGATTAATTAGAAGAGAAAAAAATATTTTTAATGTCATGTTTTACTATCAACATATGCATACCCAATTATTTTGTGTTATATATAGGTTGTTATACAAGGTCTTACACATTACATTTAAGATAATGGTAACTCTGTATTTTTTTCTTAAAACTTTTTCTTTAACCTTTTGAAATATGTGGTATATTATATATTTTTATATTTCAATAGATTAACATTTATATCAATTAAATTTTAAAAAGTATTTTAAATTAATTCAATCACTTATCAAAATTGTTTTAACGGTATTGTTGACCCGATCTTTTAAGATTTGATTATTTTTTTATCCCTTTGATCTTAGGTGATTTTAGAAATATAATGTCTCATAAGGTTTCTAGAGAGATGTTTCCCAACATCTTTTCTTGTTTTTTTCCTCTTTAGTCAGATCCTGAGTTGTTTTTGTTTAAAAAAAACTTGTTAGTTTTATTATTTCAATTTATTATTGGGAAGAGTATCTTGTATTCTAAAAAAAAAAAACTTGTTGATTATGTGAACAAGTCCTTGAGGATATTTACTATGTTCATTTCAATTATACGATTAATTAACATGCTTCTTGTATATATATCAACCTACACTTATTATTATCTCTTGGATAACCATCATATATCAACATCACTAAGTTTTACATGATTGATTTTCACATACACTTTTTTTTGGTAAACAAACCATCTTAATGGCTTTCAATTTATCCACTTCCATTCCAACCTTCAAGTTGTTACTAATCATTTTTGCATGGATCACCATTTCACCATGATTTTGCAACAACGTCAACTAACACTAGTTCACCAGTGCTTTTAACAGAGACCCTGATCTAAACTATGTTATGAAGCACCCCACAAAAGGGTGCTCCAAAATTAATTTTTTGATAAGGAATCAAATCATCACACACAACTCATCTTCCTTGAACCTTTTCTTTAAACCCTTTTTGGAAAAGTTGATTCCACACACTCAAAACCTTTAAGGGGTTTAAGTGTTGCCATAAAAGGTATACCTAATAACTTAAGAAATTAAGAAATTGGTATGATTCCAATTTGCACTCACTACTACCAAAAGCACAATAAACCATAGATCCAACTTCAAATTTTCCTGGCCATTTAGCCAAATTTTCATGCAAATGAGGTGCTGTTGCATTTGGTTTAACATGCCCTACAAGCAACACATGCTTCCTATAATAATCAACATAAATCTTTCTCCAAACTTTGAGTCCTATTGCATAAGATTGAGTTAGACTATTAGTACAACATTCAATGCAAATAGTGCCTTTAACATACTCATTTTTTGGTTCATGGGCATGAAGCATGAGGTTATGTTCAGTTATGTTGCACCATTCTTTGGACATCCTTAAAGGGTAGTATGACAACTCATAAGCCAAGGATGAAGGGCTTATAACATAATAAACTAAGGATTTAATTCCTAAGCATTGCGATAATTATGGTGATAGAGAACCATCTTTAAAGATCATAGGACCTTTGACAAGGTATATGGTTAAGAGGTTAGAATAAGCTACAAGAGAGGATGTGCTTCTTAAACTTGTATTTATCATAAGTATAGAGTATGTGTTTTCTTCCTAGTTGCTCAGTCTTTTATTGTATATTCCTTGTATACTTTGTTTTCCATTCTCTTGTATGTATAGTAGTTAAATGCATAGGTTTTTTTTTACCTTTGTATTTAGGGGTGTGTGTTTCTTTGTTTGTAGGTCATGTCTTTAGGATTTAGAGGCATGTTCCTTATTGAAATGTATTCCTATTGACCATGCATTCACGGTCATCATTTTTTTTTTTTTTAGTTTAGTAGTTGGAATGGAAATAGTCATTTTAGTGGTGTGACAATAGCCACTCTAGATGGTGTGGAAGTAGTAAAAGTGTGGAAATAGCCAAAAGAGATCTTGGGCTTGTTTTTCTTCTCTTGGCCCAAGGAATTGATTTGGCTTAGTTTAACCTTCATTTGGTTAACCAAAGCAAACCAATTCCTTGGTTTTTGGTTTGGCCAAGACAAGTCAAAAGCCACCTTGGCCGCCCATTTTGGCTACTCTTCGCCTTGGAACTACTTCTCCAACCACCTAGAGATAAGAGGACACTTGGCACTTGTTCATTGGTTCTTCTTGTAACGCCTAATTGTATTAATCTTAACCTCAGTAATATATGTATATATATATAGATGTAGCTAAAAGAACACATGTATGATAATATTATACATTATACCATATCATAAGTATTTATCATTACAATATTTTACAAAACGCGCGTAGTTGCTTTTCTTACCTATATACATCGTACAGATTATAGCAAGCCTATTTACACATCATATTTTTATTTTTCTACTTCTATACTAACTACATGGGTGGCTGGAACAAATTTACGATCGGGTTCACGTGATTAGCTGGAGGTAAGTAAAAAGTCATAACGATGGATCCATCTATCACCTGGGAACTT